GACAGTCAGCATCTACACTTTTCGTCGAACATGCACTTGAAGATCTGGTTGAATTCGAATAGACCAGAGCCAGTGGCTCCATCAGTCACTAGCCTCACGCATAGTGACTTTATTCAAGTGTGCGTCAAGCGAATCCGCTTATCTCGTCTCCAGATGATAGCGTCGGAAGACATGAGTACTGTAGCACGAGAACGCCAACTCCAGATGGAACTATACAGAGCGATCACCTCGTGTGCGCCCAAAATCAGCCATCAGTCCTGAATGCGGCACTGTTAATGGAAATAGATATGTTTGGCGCTGGTGTTTCCTCTGAAAAATACGTGCATCCATTGATGGCGACCGTAAGGCATTTGGAGATAAATCGATATCTGTCAAACATGTTCTCGTTGACTTCTTTCTGCAAAGGGCATAATGGCCGTTGGGTAAAGCAGACAAGCAAAGATCCGAGGTACGTCTTCTTTGAGAAGTGTTTCGAAAGCGCGCGAGCTGTTGGTGACAAACCAGGTGGTGATGGCAGCAGTGAGACCGTCGTCGGTTTGACGGAGTAGTGATCTGGCGAGTGGTGCATCCGTCATGACGATATTTTCAATTTGGAGTGACAATGCGGTTGTGAGGAACGAGGAGTTTCTGGAGATACCCCAAGTTAATTCTATTTTTCGTTTACTAACTGGAAACACGAACTGCTCTGGCAATCAACACGACATCTGGCAAAAACCAATACTTACAGTTGATTTGATCTGCTCTTCTGTGGAGTGTTGCGATCTACGCTGAGTTCTTTGGCCAAAGTGTGGTCTTGTTCTATTCGTCGCGCGATTGATGTTTCTTGAGTTAAGCGTCCGCCCGTGAGAAGCAAGACAAAGAAAGTTTTCAAATATCACAGCGGTTTTAATAGTGAACTTTTATGATCAAGAGTCCAATTTTACGGAGAACGAGACGATTTACGTGAGTCGTTCAATTCCGAATGATGGTTTATTGAATGGAATCATATCACTTCGGGAGTTCTGCTTGGCGGAGTTCACTTGTCAAAATAGCTCACAACGAGGTGAGTAGTAACCCGACCGACGTTATCGACAGCCAGGTCCAAGCCAACATTGTGGCAGCTGCTTATGGAAGCGAAACGATGGACCAGGGACAGTGAAAAGAGAGTTCGAGCGTTCGCTAGACCAGGGACAGTGAAAAGGGAGTTCGAGCGTTCGCTAGTCGAGTAACGTCAATGAAGCTAGACAAAACCTGTCAGAGCTGACGGTCCCCCCACCCAGCGCGAATGTTACTTCGTTCTCATAGTTAACTTCGGCGTGGTAGACATAATACTTTGGAGTAGCATAGTTTCTGATATTTTCCACGCGTATCCTAGTATTTAAGCATCGGAAAATTGCTGTGAATTCCATCCAAAGGACGGTAGTAGCGTGATGTTCGACAGAACATGACTCTGCAGTAAGACCTTACTACAAAGTTACGTAGCATTGTCTTCGAGTATCTTGCGGATGATGACTCTTTCATTCACGACCTAGCACACACAAAAGCTGCTGTCAATTCGGACAACTTCAGCATCTGCTGACCTTCTTCATCAAAATTGTTCGAGTCCAGCCAACGCTCGAATGCACTCCTCAAGCCGCCATTCCAATCATTGTCAATGATCGAAAACCACGTGGTGTCGCGGTTGCGACCCTTATAAACGGTGACTTGACGAAACAAGCCTTCGTACGTGAACCCGAGTCGAGCAGCAGCATTTCGTGATGGCAAGTTGCAGCTGTCACACTTCCACTCCAAGCGCCGGTACCCGAGCTGGAAGGCGTTGGCTGCCAGAAGATAGATGACCTCCGTCGCTGCTCTGGTCTTGGCTAGTTCGAGAGAGTAGTAGACGTGGCCGACTTCCACAACTCCGTGGCTGGGGTCAATG